CCCCAAAACCCCAAAACCCCAAAACCCCAAAACCCCAACCTGAATTTCTCTAATTGAATTAAGAAATTTTATATAAATGTCGAATCAGGACCCCCATTCTTCCTTACCAGCTTATGGGTCAAATCTCACAGATTCTTCAGTAAGCCTTGCTCAAGCCAGATACTCTAAAAATTAGGTGTTCAACAGTACAGCCTCCAATCCCAGCTATAGCAGATTCAGGAAAGAAAAAGGGCGGAATAAGAACATCCAGCAGTCAGACCCCAAGAATATTGGCAATTATGTAATATCCAAAGTTATCGGGCAAGGGACCTTCGGAAAGGTTTGGAAAGGAATCCATCTCCTCACTGGCGAGAAAGTAGCTGTCAAACTGTTCGACAAAAAGCAAATCAAAAATAAGGGTATACGTTATAAAACCTTTTAGATGACATGAAACGGATTAAGAGAGAAATTAAAATCCAAAAGAAAGTCAAGCATCCCAATATAGCCCAACTATATGAAATGGTGGAGACTGAGGAGTTCATATACCTCATCCTGGAATACTGCAGCGGTGGTGAGCTGTTTGACTACATTGTGGCTAAGAAAAGACTTGATGAGAAAGAAGCATGCAAGTACTTCCAAGAACTGATTAGTGGTATTGAATACCTCGGGAAAAATAATATTTCTCACAGAGATCTTAAGCCAGAAAACTTATTGATAGACTTTAATAAAAGTATATAAAGATCATAGATTTTGGCCTCTCAAATTTTTACAGTGATAAATAATGATAAGCTCCAAACCGCTTGTGGGTCTCCTTGTTATGCAGCTCCAGAAATGATTGCTGGCAAAAAGTACAATGGCCTCATGACTGATATCTGGTCTGCAGGCGTAGTTCTGTATACCATGATTTGAGGATATCTCCCCTTTGAGAATGAGAATACCTCATTGTTGTATAAATCTATTTTGAGAGTCCAATATTCAGTTCCAAGCTGGGTTTCAAAATTATCAAAATAATTTATTGAACAAGATACTTGTATCTGATCCATCAGTTCGTGCGACAATTGATGAAATTCGGGATCATCCTTGGTGTCTGCAAGTTAGGTTACCTCCTCCCTGAAACATATTCAAGAGGATAAGTAAGACTATCCTTGCAACAATGGAGGAATTAGGGTTTAACAAACTGTTTGTGGAGAATTCCATCAAAGACTCCAAGCATAACCATACAACCACTACATATTATATTTTAAATAAAAGCATGATTATTCAAAAGGAAAAGACCAAGAAGTTAAAGTAAATCCTTCAACAATATGAGCACAGGTATTCCTACTTTCTAGTAACCTCTAGGACTTGATTCTCCTGATAAGCCAAGTATCGCGAACTTCCATCCCAAGAAAAAGGTCCGGATTTGATCTCAAAGTCAGCCAAATAGGCCTAGAAAGACGCCGAAAGGTATGAACTTGGTTACTAAATTCAAAATTTGTACTAAAAGAACTGATTTGTGATAATTTAAAAATATCTCCATTAATCTAGGGCTTGATGTTTATTTATTTATGTACTAAAGTAATTGAGTTCTTTTTAAACTACGATATCCAATGCATCCAAAGATTTTGCTTTTATCTCTAAATTTTTAAAAGGAATTCATAATTCTTCATTAAATGTTGATATTAAGGTAGTTAAGTTAGTTAAAATCTACTCCCTAATTCTTCTAACATCCCTATCTCACAACTTCTCCTTCTAATGATCTCTTTTAGATCCTTGAACTCAACAAGGTCCAACTCCGCAATACGACAACTACATCACAGATACTTTATCAGTGCACCAATACAACCTTAGGGCTTATAACGAGAGGACTCATAGTTCGAATTCTCCTCAAAAGTATCGCCACCAACTTGAGAATTCGAAGAAGTTCAATGGTCGAGATTTTTCTGTGACAAAAGAGCAGCCTGAAAGAGCCACCATACATACAAATTACCAGATAGGGATCAAGTCAGGGAAGGGGTTCAAGCATAAAGTCAAACTTGACCTACAGAAGTTTAAATAAATTCAGAGGTAACTTCGGCAAGCTCAGCCTCGTTAAGAACAAACAAGTCATGGCCAAAAAGGACCGAAAGAAGGTAAGAGAGCATGGCCCTGGCCCAGAGGAGTTCATGAACCTTTCGGTGTATGATGATTACCAAAACCCTCTTAATAAGAGCATTAATGTCACACAGAAGTATAATAACCAAAGCAAGGCTGCTAAGTAAGACATTGAAAGACATATATTTTAGCTCAAAGTCTGCATTCTTGACCAATAAATCAGATTTTAATAAGACTCAAAACATATTTGCAAACGGGTCCAACGTCGGCATGACAAGGACCTTGGAGTCTATGTCAAAACCAAAATCAAGACAGAATTTACAAAAGAAGATATCAAAGATAAGAGTTGGACATCATAAAAGACAAAGGACACAAGGAAATTTCCCGATGAATGAAAACAAAGTTCATTATCCCATCAGAGATTCATACTTCAAACATAAAATATCTAGGGAGAGTTCCAAAGCATCTAGATCAAACAGCAGAGTGATAAAATCAAAAATAGGCAGGAAGTACAACCCTGGTGATGTGACAAGTCTTATCAGGACAGCAATGGTGCCTTCATATTTCATCAGCAAGTTAAATTCTAACTTCTAATCATAAAATCTTCTGTCTTACTGAGTATATCTAGAAGCAAAATCTTCAATTTCTGTCATAAAATGGTTATTTTGGAAGCACTAAGTGGACTATTCCCACAGATGTTTCAATAGAATAATGCCTAACAGGGGTTTTGGGGTTTTGGGGTTTTGGGGTTTTGGGG